ATGGTGGAGCAGCAACAGGAAGGAGCCTGGGTCCCTAAGTGATGGCATAGAAGAGAGCCACCTCTCTGAACTGACTGCCCACCCAGACTGACATGTAAGCAAGAAATAAACTTCTGTTATGTTAAACTCCTGACACTTGATCACAGCTTAATCTCTCTAACTAACACACTAGGCCTTGTTGCACCAAAGGGCTGAAACCTACCCACTTGGATTTATTTGCAGCCTCCAGCAAGTAACACAGTTTAGCCTCTTCTGGACAACGGACAGGTACTGGCCGTGATTCGGGATAAACAGCTTAATGGAAATGAGACTTCACAGAGGACTATAAGTTATGAGTGAGAATTGGGAGCATGTAAAATTAATGCTAAGATACAACTAGTATGGCTTTAAGGCAATCTTTTTAGTTTTATTTCCAGTTTTCTAAGAGATTTGAGGATCATTATTTTCCTACTTTAAGTGGAGTTAGCAGGGAAGGAAAACTCTTTTTGTTAGCTGCATTGTGGGGGCAACTTTGAATATTTTTTAATGACTCCAGGAATACCTACAGTGCCTCGGAGATCTTCCAGACACACTTCCTGATTTCCAAATGAAGAGCCCAGAGCCAGACCTACCACCATGCCAGAGGCCACAGGCAGCACCCCAGGGACCAGCGGCCCCACCTCCTGTCTACCAAAGCCTGTACTTTCTACTGTGTAGGGGTTTCCGTGGAGGCAGACCAGAAAGCAGCGCAGTCACACTTCAAACACAGGCTCTCTGGAATCAGACAGACCTGGGTTCACATCTCACCTCCACCACATACCAGCTCTGTGATCTCGGGCAAGCTACTTCACCCTTCTGAGCCTCTGTTCCTTGTTAGAAACTCATCTGTATCCACAATTGAAAGATGTGTGCTATTCGTTGGGCACCGCTTTAGGCGCTGACGCTAGAGCAGTGAGTGGTGAACAAGACAGACGAGACCGCTAGCCTCTCAGAGCTAACTTCGAACAGCTTTCAGCTTGTTGTGAAGATTAAATAACAATGAAAATGCTTAGACAGTGCCTGCTGCACATGGTGCTCGATCGGTGCGGAGTGGGAGCGTTGCTGCTGTTCCTAGTATTCCTCCAGCGCCCTCTCACCTGCCCGGTTGTTCTGGATATTTCTGCTTGGTGTAGGCCTCGAGTGTGGCATAAACCTTCTCTCGCAGAGTCTCCACCTCAGAAGGGTTGGACAGGCCCTTGGCATCTGAAAAAGATGATTGAGTTAGCCCCTGGTACACAGCTCAGCAGGACACCCTCTCGCAGAGGCTGTCCTCATTCACTCTGGCCACCTCCCCTAGAGTTACTAGAGACACCTGGATGGGGGACAATTGCGACATGAACAAAGCTGGTCTTTGCACCCCTCATTCTTCTTTCTATGCCCAATCTACACAATAACTTTTGGGGCAAAGGTTTTAAACTCCATTAATAGCCAAATGTACCCAATGAGGGGAGTTTCATTTTATCTGGGCCGTTCTAGAAATATTACCTTCACACACTTATTGAGTGCCTGGATGCTAAGCCTGGACTGAGTGATGAGATGAGCTACGAAAACTGAATGACACGTGTCCTGCGTCAATGAACTAACCACCTAATTCAGAAGATAAAGCATGTGTGATAATTACGAATAATCCTGATGACTCCTCTTCCCTGACCCACGGCAGCATTTGGTGATGCTGACCACTTCCTCCTCCTTGAAAGTCTTTTCTCCTAGGTCTCCAGGACACCGCCCTTCTGGTCCTCGCCCTACCCCACCGACTGCCCCTTCTCAGGCTCCTTTGCTGGCTCTTCCTTTTCCTCCTAACCTCAAATGTTGGTGGCCCCAGGGCTCAGTCCCCAGAACTCCTCTGCTCTATCTTTATTACTCCCCAGATGAGCTCACCCCCTTCTCGCAGCCTTACATGCCAGGTATGGGCTGATGCTCTCAAATGTGTAGGTTGGGACTGGCTTTTCCTGTGAAGTTCAGACTCATGGAAGCAGTTGCTTCCTGGACATCTCCTCTTGGAGGTTTACTGTCCATCCTCAGTCTTAATGTCCAGAGACAAAATCATGACTCCTACCCACCCCCGCTCAGAACTTCCCCCATGCAGTCTTCCCCATCTCAGTAAACCAGAAGTCCATTCCTCCAATTGCTCAGGAAAATAAAACAATGCAAAAACCCCAAGAGTTATATCTAACTCCTCTTTCTTTCTCATCCTATATTCGATCCATCAGCAAGTTGCAGTGGCTTTACCTAAAACTATATCCAGAGTCTGTTTACTTCTTGTACCTATTTCACATCTACCCTAAGCCACCATCATCTCTCATCTGTCCCACCTGCCCCCAAACGCACACCCCACACCCATTCAAAACACTCTTCAAGATGGCTCTAGGAGGAGAGGCCATGAACAGCGGACCCTATGCTCTCCTGGAATCCTGGCCCTGCCCTCTCTCTCTCAGCAGAGCTAGGGGACCAAAAAGCATCAAAGCACTGGAGGCCAACCATGGAGGGGGCTACACACTACACAGCTACTGGGGTTAAACAGCAGTCACCTGGGTTAAACAGCACAATGGCTCGCAGGCACCCCAGCTCCGACTTATCCATCTGCATGTCTTTCATTTTGGAAACCAGCTCAGTTAGAACTCTGTTCATAGGAAACAAGGGCAGGTAATGAGAAAACCATGAGTAGCAGGCCAAGGACCAATAAGATGAATTCAACCAATATTTGTTATGTATTCATCCCGTTTTCCAGGCAATGCACCAGGTACTAGGGTACAGGGGTGAATAAGCTGTGATCCCTCATCTCAAGGAGCTTATGGTTTAATTGAAGAAACAGACATAGAAACAGCAAGCAGCAAAGGTCAGTGGAATACTGCCGTGAGCAAAGACCAAGGGAGCACCAGGAGGAAGTAATGAATCCTGAGCAGGGGACGGGAAAGGCATCTAGAAGACACAGACATTAGAAATGCAATGGGCAGTGCAGGGAGAGGGCAGACTCGGCTGGAAGGACGCAGCAGAGGGCAGCATTCAGTGGAAGGGCAGAAACCTCCAGGCACCAGGAAGGGCTGAGACATTCCAAAGACCACATTGGCCTCTACCTGGAACACGTTGTGGGAAAGGGCAGGGAAGGAATGGAGGCATCTTAGGTGGACATGCACATGACCCAAGAAGACCATGTATGCTGGAGGTGGAAAGGGGCTGCAGGACCCTGGTACTGGGCAAAGAGACTATTTTCAACCCTACCCTCCTCTTTACCAGCTCTTCACCTGCTCAGCCCCAAGTCATTAATGTCTTCATTTCATTCATCTCTTTCAATCAGATGGCTTAATTTCCCTGTAGCGCCATTGAAGGCACAGAATCTCTGTCAGGGTGTTGCTGCTTGACTGAAATGGGTCTGCCTGCCCCTGCTACAGGCTTCCCCCGGAGATTACACAGAGTCCAGCAAAAACCTCAGCCCCAACCTAAGACAGAGCCTGGATCCTTTTCCCATCTCTGGCCCCTAGGATAAGCAGTTCATCGTCCCCACCCCCAGCTTACTTGCTAATGTCAACAATTCAGTCTCTTCTTTGGCCCAGCAGCTATGCTGGCCCCGACTGTCTCCATCTCATTGTAATTTCAACCTTTTTTAAAATCCCTCTCTCATTTTTCAGGTTTATATTTTCATGGGCCTAACGGTCTCCATGTGGTCATACCCAGCTGTTTGGGCTGCCCATCCTACCTCCCAGCTCTGCCCACAGGTACACACACACACGTGAATACACACACACATGAATACACACACACACGTGAATACACACACACACACAAATACTGAAAGTAGAAGAGAGACACCTGTCAAAGATGGAGCCAACCCCAGCGCTATGGGCACTGCTGCGGTGCACGTGTAAACCCGTGGCCAGAAGAATGCCATCCTGCACAGAAACCGAGCGGTGGGAGAAAGAGGCAATCAGCAGTTCATTCCACCCTAGAGGAGGAGAAGGAGGCCTTGAGGAACAGCAGACCACACTCTTGCTTCATCAGTCATCACCCAGTGCATGCATTATTATCCCACGTAATAAAAGGATTGGAGGTCCAGGGAGGTTAAGAACTAGTTCAAGACAACATCACCAATTAGTGAAGAAACAAAGGATGAGACTGGGGTCTCCTGACTTATGGCTCTGCACATCCCCCACAGTCTCTCCAACACAGCCCAGATGGACAGCTTGAGGACAAGGACTCCTTCATTTTTTTATTAGCCAATAAATATGGATTGAACATTTAGCAGACAATAGTCACTACATTAGCTGCCATGGAGGATAAAGCGGATATACCTTGCAGTGTCTGCCCCCAGGACCTGACAACCTAGTTTTATTTCTTTCGCATTTCTAGTAACACCGAGCACAGTATGTAGCTTTCAGTCGGCACACAGTGATTGCTCATTATCTAACAGGGTTGAACGAGTGGACTAGTTCCCAATGCTCAGCCAGTCTTCATGAAATTTCCTTGCTGGCTCAGTGACAAAGAGGAGGCATGGCATATGTCAACAGATTGCACAGTGTCCCAGAAATAGGAGGCAAGAGAGAAAGCTTGAAGGGACCTTGGAATCCATCTAGTACAAGCTTCAGCAAAAATCTTTGGCTTCTGTATCTCACCTGTAAAATGGGAATATCTCTATTTGCCAGTTTCCTTATAATAATGAGGCTCTGCTTCAAATTATCCTCAATAAAAATGATTTAACAGTCTGAAAATTTAATGCAAATTATAAAACTGTGGCAAAATTTACATGGGAAGAGTCACACTCCTCCACTAACCAACAATGTTTCATTTGGGAACAAAAGGCTTTTGGGAGGGCCATCCAAATTTAAGAACCTACAAATAATATTTAAAAAGAACGACCCTGGATAGGGTCATTCCATCATCAACACAGTATACAGCTTGGATGGGTTGCAGCTGCATCAGGTTACTTGTTTTAGGATCCCAAGGGGAATTCCAAAATGGCAGCCCAGGTGATAGAAAAAAAGAAACCCAAGATGCTTTACCTGCCCGCAGCAGAATGACCTGGTCCTCCAACGTGAGGTCAGAGAAGTGGGGGATACGCTTGGCCCATTCAACAAGGGTGAAAAGCTGCTTATCTGCAGCATGGCATATGTTGGTGACAGGGTCATTCGTCTGAAGAACGAACAAAGTACTGTGAGAGGCAGGTCCCTCTCCCCAGTCTCCAGCACCACCCAAGAAATGGAAGATGGATGGAGAGTTAAGAGCACATACCGAGTTCTCCATGTTCATGTCACCATAGGATTCTGTCTTTGGTTCAACAGCAAGTTCAGCTTCTAGAATCCTCTCCACAGGCATGTCTTCATGGCCACTGCTGGCACTTTCTGCCTCGCTCTCGGCTCGCTCCCGGCTCCTCTGTCTTTCTTCTTGCACAGCTGGCATGCAGCAGGACATACAGAGGTTACCATATGCCCAGGACAACTCCAGGAAGGTTAGTTACCTACTGAAACCTCAGTTTCCTCATCTGTAGAATGGGGATCATCCTGGTACTGAATCAGGGACATTGTAATGTTGACAGGTGAAACAAGGAAAGCATTTGCATATGCCTGTGCAAAACTAGAGGTTCTTTAGTCCATATTCTTTTCAATGCATTATTGTGACCATGCTAAGAAATTTGCATTTTAAGCTTTAATAAACTCCATTTCTACCATCTCTTGTAATGAGCCTCCATCTCCTTGCTGTCCCTGCAGTCTCTCACATTCTTCCTCTACCTGCTGCCTCTAATAAACTGTGAGCATGCAATAGTTAAGTAGCATGCTCATCACTTTAAAACTCTGTCAGATCCTATGCATCATCCTTGGCATTCACGTCCCATTAGTTCTGCCTCTAGTGCACCAGCCTGAACATGACATCACCTGATCCAAGTTGTCAGGGAAGAGCTTCAGGGAGCCAGCTGTGGGTACTTAGTAAGTGAAGGGGTGGAGGATGTCACCTAAGTGACATTTCAGCATCAGTGGCTGATTTTGAAGTTGGGGGAGGGTACATAGGCAAAGGTGTAGGCTGGACTTATCTTAGTCTCCCAGAAGCTTAGAGTTTTCATTAATGTTAACGCCAACTCTCAGAACAGTCTGGGTCTGTACATTAGGATGTAAGGCAGAGCCCCCTTCTCAGTTCTGCCCTCTTCATCAGGAGAACAGTCTCTGTTGGGCTAATTTCCATCATCTAGAAGGCTGTGGTTTCCAGCTTATTCCCAGCAGCAATAAGCAGAATTCAGTATTAGAACACCTATTTGTACATCCCAAGAGTCAAGAAACTTACACTCAAAGCAGGTGACTAACCTGAAACTCAGTGATGGCCCCTCCACTAGCAACTCCTACCTCTCAGCTTCTCTCCCTTCCTCCCCAGTCCACTTGCAGAGAAGCCCTCCTACTCTCTCAGGGAATGACCAGCCACACAGGCTGCAGAATGGACTGGAGCCAGGATGCTGGACATCTACTTTGTCATGCAAGCAATATCCCTGATCTCTCAAGGTGGGTCAGAGAAGAATATGACGGCAAAAACACAACTTTTACTCCAAAGCCTGGTAGAGATATGCTGAAAAGCCTCAGGATGCAAATGGCATTCCACTGTTGGGAGAGAGAAAAGGAGGGAAGGAAGGAAGGCAAGAGATAATAAAGCAGGGGAGCGGGAAAAATAGAAAACAGAAGGGAGATGGGCCGGCCCGGTGGCACACTGCTACAGTGCGCCGCTTGGGAGTGCGGTGGTGCTCCTGCCGAGGGTTCGGATCCCACATACAGACCAGTTCCCGCTCACTGGCTGAGCGAGGTGCGGGAGCAACACCGAGGGTTGCGATCCCGTTGCCGGTCTTGGTCCAGTACGGGCGCGACACTGAGGGTTGCGATCCGTTGCCGGACACGAAAAAAGACAAAAAGGAAATAAAAAAAAAAAGAAAACAGAAGGGAGAGAGAACAGAGAGGAGAGAACAAGAGAGAGAAGAGCACAAAACTTGTACCTTGGAGTCAAATAAATCTTTTTAAAAATGTAGCTCTACCACTTACTGGCTAAATGACATTGGATATATTACTCAGTCTACTAAGCCTGTTTCCCTATCTGTAAAGCAGAGATTATAGTACTGAACTGACACGGCTTTGTAAGGATTCGTGAAATAATTACAAAAAGTTCCATTAAAAAGTTATTCCTTCTTTCCCTTTATCTCTATTTACCCCCCTGGGCCTGTCTCTGGTCCTCTCTCCACCCTCTTTTTTGGACTGTTCCCCCCTCTCCTTGCCTCCCTTCCTCTTTCTGCCTCATTCTTACTTTCCGTTCAATCTGTCAGTTTTCTTTCACCGCAACATATAGAAACTATAATATGTATTTTTCTCATAGTTGGATTTACTTGCTAAAATAGAATGCTTCTTATATTAATTTTTTTTTTTCCTTTTTTTACTGACCGGTAACAGGATCACAACCCTCAGTGTCGCACCCGTACCGGGGACCGGCAACGGGATCGCAACCCTCGGTGTTGC